GGGGCATCCCGACGAATCTGTAATCTCCGCTCCGCTGTGGGAGCACCCGCGGCGACAGCAGGAAAGAGAGGGGGGTCAATGCAAGGGTGGGGGGAGGGAAAGGAGAGCTGGATGCGTGAGGGAGGACTGCGGGCGGAAGCGAGGCAGGCGAGCGCGGGGCCGCCGGCCGGCAGCCGGAGCAGCTGCGGCGGCGCCCGAGCTCTGGCTGCCGCCCGCGCTTTCCCGCTTCGCGGAGATAGACGCCGGCGCCGGCCTCTGAGGCCGAAGGGCACGGGACTGCGAGGGCAGCCGCAGCTGGCGCCTCTGGGGGCGTCTGCGCGGCTCCGCGCGCGCTGGGCTAGCCTGCCCTGGCCCGGCGGGCCACCCCACGCCCCCCGCCGGCCTGTGTGCGCGGAAGACACCGGTTCTGGAGGGGTCAGCACACCCCAGAGAACAGAGGAGAGTCCGGCGGCGCGGCTCCGCGCAAACCTCCCCACCGTAGATTCCTCGGATGCCGATTTAGTAGTTTGTTTTCCGATGAAGGAGAAGCGAGCTGGGCCAAATGGCTCCGTTTGCCCCAGCGGAGGTTTAAAGAGAATCAGAAGATAATGAAAAGTCCACTTCCTGAAGGGTAAAAAGATAAAGTAAAATAAAGAGCCACCGAACTGGAAATGTCCGTTTTAGAGCTTCTTATTTGCTTCCCTTTTGCTTCGGTTTTCCTTCTTGCGGAGCATTTAATCTGCTGGAAGAGGGGGAGGAGGAGGAGGCGGAGGTGGAGGAGGAGGAGGGGAAGAGAAAGACAAGAAGTTTGCCAAGAATAAAGTTTGTGCCGGCGAGCGCAGGGAAAAGGCCTTAGAGGGCTCGGCGGGGTCTTGGGGAGTCACAGCAGGAGCCTCGGGCCCAAATGCTTCTGCCCGGAGCTCGAGCCGACACACACGCACAGCCCGATCCCTCTTTGTTCCCAGCTCGAGTTTCTCAGCCTGGCTTGCTGGCTCTCACTCGCCGCTCTCCACGCCTCCGCTCTGTCAAAGCAAAGAGCTGCTTTGCCCCTCGGTCTCGCCCGGCCGACGGGAGGGGTAAACCCTGAGCGTGATCGCTGGCGAGGCTCCGGGCGCGTCCTGGCCCCTCGGCCCAAGAGCTCACCGCCCGGGTCCTTCCTCCGCGCCCTGCCCCGCAGGTGAGCGCAGCACCTCCCCACCGCTTCTCCTCCTCTCGCGCCTCGGCGGCGCTGAAAAGCTACCCACTTGCGTCGCTTCTCCTCCCCCTCCCCTCCCCCGCCTCCTGCTCTCCTTGGCTGCCCGCTGGAGTGTGTGGAGGTGGGGGGGCAGTCGGCGAGAAGGAGGTGGTGATTGAGGGCTCCCCCCCCTATTGCTTTTCCCAGAGCCTGTAGGATGAGTCCTAGTTTTGGGGTATGGGTGTGTGTGCGTGTGCGCGTGTGTCCGCGCGCGCGCCACTGGAGGGAAGGATCAGGCAACTCCTTGAAGGAAGGAAGGACCAGGCGCTGTTTGTAACCCACGGAGAGGCACTTTTTCCCCCGCGTGAAATTGACCAAAAAAAAAAAAAACTCTGCTAGAATGGCTTAACTTCATCATCTTAGTATCTTGCCCACACGCGCCCACTCCTCGTCCTCTGCCAGTCTCTCTCCTCCACCTCTTTTCCGCCTCCCACTCTCCCTCCGTGGCTCTGGCAGGAGGAGAAAGATGAAAGAGAAAGCCGCCGCCGCTGTGATCCACACCACATTGATAGATGCTCTGACAGAGGGGATGAGGCGGGAATTAGGGACTGAGAGAAGGAAAAGGGGAAAATATAACTAACATTGCTCACCTAATAAGCGAGAACAGCAGCAAGAAAAATAAAGAAAAGAGAGCTCAGGCTTTACTAAACATACTATCACACACGCCCGTTGGAGACAAGGGATGAGGGAACACACGCTAATGAAAATAAAATCTCCACCCTTACCGAGAAAAATGGGACGAAGAAGGAACTGGAGACTGGATCTTAATTATCGCTTTTAAACAGTATCTCTTTCATTGCGTCTTCACTATGGGATGCAGGGAGAGTTAACTCAGATCTCTGGGGGGTGTTCGGATATACACGCAGCAGTATGTAGATACCTCCTAGAGAATGAAAAGACAGCGAAAGAAGGGAGAAAGGAAGGTAAAGGAGAAGAAGAAATAAAACCTAGGAGAGTGAAGCCAGAAGAGGGAGGGAGGACAGGGCAGTCCCTGGCACCCTGGACTGTGCGCTGAAAGGGACCCTTGAGGATGCAAATCCGAATCCAACCTCAAAAATTCCCCAAGTCTTCACCCTCTCTTTGATGCATTTTGTACAAGGACAGGACTTTTAAGGAGATGCTTTGTGAAATTTACAGTATAAGTGTAGCTGAAGTTTGAAAACACATTACATTTTGTCCCTTGGCTCTCAAATCCCCAGTTAAAAATCCAGGCAAAATTATTATACCCAATGAAGTTGCCATCTCTAAAACCTCAGAACAGTAAACAGGGGCCAGGAATAAATGTATCTCCATCTCCCTGAAATTGAAAATAAGGAAAACACTACAGAATCAGACTTCAGTTCTTCTATATATGAACGATCAAACAAAGATCACTTTTTCTTTTCCTAAGAGTGAAATTGTAGGCTACTGGACATTGTATAAGTGAAGATTTTTAACAGAGATTTAAATGAGCGTTTAAAACTTTGCTGATAACCACTACTTTGAGGGAAGCATGAACTGGAAAATAGTTTTTAAAATTACCATTTAAAGGGTTCAGTTGTCCCACAGAAGATGGCCAGTGGTCACATGTAGATTCTACCTGGTACCTTTGGGCACAGTCAGAAAAGTAAAACAGTTTTACTTTTAAATAGCTTGACAATGCCTTAGAGAAGAAAAACTAAAATAATATTCTGCTACATGGTGTTTGTAAGGTAATAATAAGTTTGGGAAGATATCCAATTTTGGGTTTTTGGATGATGGTAGTTATGTAACTTCCACTGAAGTTAGGCACCAGAGCGGATGAATGTCCCAGAGATGTGAATGTGTAGCTGTGTCAGACATTTATAGTCCCTTTTGTAAAATAAATATGGCAAAACAAAGTCAAAATTCCTCCTATAACTGCCAATCTGACTGATAGGAAAAGAACTGGAAGATGCAGTTTCATCAAAGCAGCCAGAGTAGACGTTCCTTTTCATCAAACTCCGGAGGGGGAGGCGGGACGCAGAATGGCCAGAGGGTATTTTCTGGAAGCCAAGGAGAGATTAAATGACGACTCCTACATCCCCCCTGTTTAAGTGTTGCAACTAATTCGAATTCCCATTTTCTCCTTCATGTTAATTATCCGGACTCCCTGAATCATTTGGAGCTCAGCTCCAGGTGTCCTGGAGATTAGCAGCTCGAGAGAAGATGGGAATTTTTGGAACAATAACTAGTGGGAATTGTTTACTAGAAGGGCTGAGGGTAGGTGGCTGCGTTTGGGATTTTCCTGTAACCCTCTTCTTTGGAAACATTGTTTCTAACGAAATCACTTAGCGCCTGGCTCTATTTGCGTGGCTGTTAAATTACGGTGTGCGTGTATTGACTGTCTCTAGCATTGTAGCAGATTTTCTGATGGGCTGTTCTTAAAAATGGCTTTATTAAAAATCAGGCGCCCAGGTTTTTTTTTTTTTTTTTAAGCTGTCAGGAAAGGAGGTTGACATTCCCACGTGAAGTCTGTCTCTCCGGAGGAAAAAAGCGGGGGCTGGGGGGTGGGGGGCGGCGCGGTAATCCCAGGAAGAGGTTCCTCCCTTCCCATAGGTTCGGTGTAGCTCCTGGCACAGGCATTCCGGTAGCCAGGCAGTCTCTTCTAATTGGAGTGGGGGTTACTATTAACACAAACAGCCGCCTCTTCGGGTGCAGCGAGTGGGATCCTAGGTCCGGGATGTGGTGGGTGCGGCGCGAGAGAAGCACCGCCGCCCCCTTGCCTCGGATGTAGAGGCAGGTTGTTGTGTGAACTCGAGCGAACGACTGGAGGTTGGCTTTTGTAGGTTCGCTCCTTCAGGATGTGGGTTTCAGGGGGCGTTTTGATGTGATTTAATTCCGACCGTGAAACAATTGCTAGGGCTGGCAGGATTGCTGTTGGTTTTTCCCCTCCTGGTGGCTTGGGTTGCTTTTAGTTTGGGAGCGAATTTGTTTTATATCAACACTTCCTTCTGCACCGGGCGCCTTCTCCCGTGTTGCGCTTAGGGGCGAAGCGCCCATTCCGCGCCGGAACCCAGGATAGGGGGCAGCGGAGCCTGGTCTCGCCGCCCCCGGGGTGAGCGAAGACCAGCCCCACCCCCTCCCCCGCTCAGGGGGCGGGGGATCCCGGGCAGTGACCCACACCCACCCCAGAAGACCCCTCCCCCCCAGGCGACTTTGCTGCCCAGTAAGTCAGCTACCGACAATCCAGTGAGTCCTTAATTACAGGGACCAGAGAAAAGCACTGTGCCCCTCTCAGCTCTCTCCGCCCCCTCGGTCCTAACCCCCCGCCCAGGCCCCGGGTTTTCCCTTTGTGTGGCCTGGACTCTCTCCCAGCTGCAACTTTTGTGGGATCCCAAAGGAAGGAGGTGGCGGGGGCCTACGGAAGAGGATGCTCGCAGAGAGAGAGAGAAAAGCAAGGGATCAGGACTAGAAAAACGAATAATGTGACTTTAGGGGCGGAACTATGACTCCCTCGATTTGCCACCCCAAGTTTCACCAGGAGACTAAAGCTGTGGGCATCTTCAGTTTAACGGACGTGGTGGAAAAGGAGAGAAGGGGGCGAGGGAAATGGTAGTTAGTTTGTGTCCCACGGGGCTCTTCCGCCTCTTCTTGCCTCCTCCTAAGACAAACAGACTCAACCCCCTACCCTCCAGGGTAACGGAGAACTCGTGGGACCGTGAAAATGTCGTTCCCAAATCCGGCCAACTGCGGACGCCGGGCTTCCGCGGGGCCGGCGCCCGTTGGCGTCTGCAGCTCCGCGCAGCCTCGCGGGGCTTGAGCCCAGCGGGGTCTGTCTAAGCCCTCGCGCCCTCCGCTGGCTCCTCCCAAGCTAGGTGGTGCGGGGGAGCCCCGGTCCCCGCCTCGCAGGGCAGAGGCCCGAGGAGCAGCCGTCCAGCGGCTCGGGTCCTCCCGCCACCCGCGAGGGAGGGCCACAGTACGCCCTGCGCTCTGTGGGCTATGCCAACCGGAGGCCAGAGCTTCTGTCCCGACGCTGCCCAGAGCGAGAGGAGCCAAGCCGGGGTGATTGAGGACAGTAACGAGGGGACCCGGGACAGGCACAGGAGAAGGGATCGAGCCAGAAAGAGCCTCGCCACACGCCCTCGTGGTACGGCTCCGCTACGGGAACCCGAGCTCCCACACAGACTCGGCGTCACTTCTGGACAGGGGATGCCCGCAACGGAGGTGGGCACTGGAATAAATTTGCGGGCCTCGTTTAGTAGGCCGGACGTGACATTCTTTTCCCTCCTTTCTGAAAACTTTTCTCTGGAGCCTTAACTTGGCCTGGGCACGGGCCTTGAGAAGCCAGCGGTAGGACTGGGGCGGAAGCCCGCCCCTAGGGCCCCTCTCCGCAGAGGGTCCTCCATCCCCCTCCATCCGCCCCCGGGCCGGGGACGCGCGCCGAAAGGCCGCCCGCGCGTTCCAGCCGCGTCTTATATCGGCGGAGGGCGGCGCCTGCGCAGGGCCCGGCGCGGCGGCGCGGCCTTTGAAGTCGCGGCGGCTGCGGCTTTCATCCTTTCTTTTTTCCCTCGCAGGCCCCTTTGTGTGACTAAATTTGGCAAGAATATGGATCCAAGCCAGTCTTTCCACGTGTGCTCCCAGCTCCCAGCTGAGAAGGCCAAGGGTTCTCTTCCGGGTAAGGAGACAGGGAGAAAGATCAAAGAGTTTGGGGAGCTGGATCTGAAATGTGAATTGAAAATAAAAATCAAGCCTGGACACATTCCAGTTTCTAAAGCAAAACCAACCCTCTGCAGAGGCCGTCTCGCTATGGCGCTCTTTTTCTCTGCTCCCTTTTGGTCTCTTCTCTTTCCCGCAACCGTTCTTGAGCACATGGAATAAAATAAAGAGAACATAGGGAAACACTTAGTTTCTCCAGATTTTGCTTCGCAGTAATTTTATTAGGGAAGATTTCTTATAATTACCGTTATGTGAAGCCGAATTTCTTCAGCCATAAATATTGCCTTGTTTCAGCATGCTTCGCACTTTTCTTCTGCAGCCACATTCGCGGAGAGACCGGTGATACTACACGTGTGCATGTGTTCATTGTGCACCGTACTTTTTTTCCCCCCCAAACGATACCGTGCATAGTTTTCTTTTACAGAAATTAGAATCTAGAAAACCGAAGTTAATGCCTTTTTAAATCAGTGATAGTACTCACTATCACAGTTGAGCTCTGATTTGATTTGTTGATGGACTGCCCAGATCGTTTCCTACAGGGAACTAGTTAAAAACGTTTCTGTCTTTATGGTGAAAAAGCTGCATGGTCCCTCTTGGAACATACTTGAGCGTTGTTCTGTTGTTCAGAAAGTAATCAATATAAAGAGACAGCTTTGAAATAGTGGGATGCAGAGTCAGAAATCCTGGGTTGGAGGAGTGCTCTGCCACTCCCCCTCATGTCAAGGTTGAACCGCGAGGTAAGCCATTTAACTTCTCACAGATTCACTTTCCTCTCAATAAAATGGGTGCAACAATAAAGTACTGTTTGGTGAGATAATTCATGTGAGCCTGTGCACAAATGTAAGGTATTAGTCCAAGCAAAAATGATCCTTTCAAGGGGACCTGTTAATTGTAAAACCAAAAACTTCTGAAGTTCTGGGAACCCTTACCACATGAGCAAATGGGCATGGTGTCAACTTGCACATCCACTGCTGTGACCAGCTCCATATCTCCAGCACTGGTGTTACAAATGCCACCAAAATCACCTTAGCATTTGTTGCCCCAGGAGTGAGTGTAATGAGGAACAAAACATGCTAAAGATAAAGGGAATGTGTATTAATTCTTGTTTATGATGTGAATTCTTAGTTCATAAATGGAATAAGAAAAATGACACAGAAAAGAATATATATCTGTAAGGCATTTGACACAATTTAAAGTAACTCTGAAAACAGCCTTAGTAATGGGTTGGCCTAGAAAAGAGATAATATATTGATGGATAAGACACTAGCAAGAACAGCAATGAGAAGTTGGGGCTGGGATGCTGAGGTGATTGTAAGGGTATTTTTTTTTTTTTTTTGAGACTCTGACAAAACTACTGTTACCGCTGTTGGCCGGTGACAAATCCTTGCTTCCCCAATGTTGAAGAATAACACCAAAGAAGCACGCTGAGGCAAGGTCAGAATAGAAATTAGAAGTTTATTAAAGGACAGCAGAAAAGACTTCTCTGGGAGGAAGAAGGGGACCCAAGAGGTGGAATCCGTGGAAGTGCGGTTGTCTCTCCTTTTTATAGTTTTGGTGACGGAATGTAAGGGGGAAGGGTTGGGACACAGGTGGGCCAAACAAGTAATCTGGGCAGGAAGGACTTCATTATCACTTCTTTGGGATGGGCTATCTCCAAATCTGTTAGGGGCTGTTTCCTGGGTTTCATTAACATTTCTTTGGGGTGGGCTTTGGCCTAGGGCCTTTCCGGGACTTCATTAACATTCCATGAGTTGTCCTGCTATGTTTCCGTTTCCGGAATCATTATCAGCATGGCCTCCATTTTAGATTTCACTCTATATGATATTAGACCCGATTTACCTAACTACACTGACTACCTAATTTTAAATCTGGCTTCACTAACCAGAATATATATTTTAGAATAGAATATGATTAGATATGCCAGGCACAGGGACTTTCAAGTGTACAGTGCAGTGAAGATTATGACTGAGACTAAGTGTAAAGTGACACATTGGTGTAGTACTCAGGGTAGTTAGTGGAGTGTACTTCACAAGTGATCCTTTCTAACCTAAGGTAACTCTACAGTGGAGTCATTTCCTGAGCTCAGCCTTCCAGTACAAACTTTTCAATATAACCTGTATACAGACTGATAAATTTGGGGGATGGGTGTTGGTATCAATCGTTCCTATCTCCTTTTGCCATGACCTGAGGCTGCCTAGATGCCCCATCTCCTGCTGTCCCCTACTTGCAGCAGCACCCAACCTTTGCAAATCATGTAGCAAGGACACCACAGCAGTTTTGATTGGCACTTAGGAGGTACCTTCTATTTTTACAAAACTTTCCCCAAATTCCCAGATTAGAAGTAGATGCTGATATACCTGGTGTGGTGGCATATTCCTGGAATCACAGAGACTGAAGCAGGAGGATTACAAGCTTGAGGCCAGCCTGCACAACTTAGCAAGACCCTTCTGAAAATTAAAAGGTTAAAAAGTACTAGGGATGTACATCAGTGCTGAAGTACCACTGTGTTCAGTCTTCACTACCAAAAAAAAAAGTGGGTGCTAATCAAGTTCACTGGTCAGTTTCAGTTCTTCTTTTCACTTTTCTTTATGATGCAGCCTTTTTGAAACTTATTCTTGGCCAAAAAAGGAGTAGGACTAAGGCACTGAGGGCTCTCTTTTGCTTTGGGGAGGGGCAATGAAGAGACCCTGAAAATACAAAGAAAAATCTGGGACCTCTTTTGAAGAAAATAACTCTATAAATAGGGAGTCACGGCTAAGGGATTTACGTATCTTTGTAACTGTTTACTCCATGAGTATGGTAATGGAGGTGTTTCTTGAATCATGGAAAGTACACCTCATAACATGGATGGCCTTGATTGTATTCATGGCTTCCTGGACTGTATCGGTATTATACAAGCACCTAATCCCTGGTTTGAGGCTAGAAGCCAAAGCCACAACCTTCTTGCCTTAAGGCAACAGCACTACCGACTGAGCCATATGGAGATTAATGCAGAACCAGGTCATTAGTCTCATTGTTTATCCAGTTACTTGCAGCACAGATTTGTGTAAATTTCAGCTACAGTGGTTGCAGCCTGCCTTTGATGTGTGTAATCTGTACATTTTAGTGCTCCAGGAAAGTCCCTGACTGACAGGCTGTACATCCAATGCCCAGAAAACACAGGCACACCAAGCGTGGAGTTGAACAATTTTCCAGTGAGTTCCATCAAAGTAAATAAGCCAACCTGGAGGGTCAGGATTGAACCTCTTTTTTTCTCATGACATGACTTTTGGGGGTCCTAGTGATTGATTTGTATTTGTTTTCATTTGAAATTGGGTAACTGCTTTAAATCTTTATTTGCCTCTCGAGGAAGAGGAATTTGCCCTACATAACATTTGACTTTGAGGATGCTTTCTTTTATAAAGCACTTCTATCTGTAAAACAGACTTTTTGGGTGAATTTATAGTTACTAATATTGTAAGGGACTGGCGAAACATCGGAGGAAGAGACCACTTTACCCTTTCAATATATACACTTGTCCAAAACACAGCCAGTTTCTAGTTTTTTCCTTAACTCTGCCTTGCAAGGTTATGCTTAAACTTAAAGTGAACCATTAGGGGAGTGGATTCAGAAGGTTGACAGAGCCAATGCAAATAGTTTAGGCTAAGAAATTTTTGTCTGGCTCAACTAAACACTTTTCTTTGGCAAAAATAAAACCCATTTGCCTTATCTGAATTGGACTTAAAGGTCCTACAGTCCCACGCTGCCAATTACAGATCTCAAGCCCACTTCCCTTAGGTTAAATTGGCAGAGAGCAAGAGACAGAGATTAATTGCTATTCTGTGAAGTTAGAGAGTAATTTTTGACTGCCAGTTGAGATAAATCTCCAGACTCTTGAATGTATTTTGAAGCTTGAATTCTACAGATTTGGTCTTTATTCTTCAAGTTCTCTAGATAATTTTTAGATTGTTTTACTTTGCATTACAAGAACAAAATTTCATAGTCGCTGAGTCAGACCTGGTTGAAATGGCAGTTCTCCAACTGTAAGCTCTCCCTTGCAGTCCTGCAGTAGACTCCTAACTAGCCTCCAACTTCTACTCTTGCCCGGTTCCTGCATGACCCCAGCAATCTATGCTTTATAGAGTAGCCTTTAAGATTTCCTAGTTGTAGCTCCTAAGTTTCCATGTGAACTGGTTTCTGGCTTCCTCTTACTCACTGTTCTTCAGCAGTGCTGGCTGTCCAACTCTTCCTGCAGTACAGAGCACATGTGCATGTATATGTGTGCATGCATAGACCCCTTAGTCCTTTACCTGTTGCTCCTGCCCAGAAACTCCTGGCCAGGTAGGTGTTTTCAGGGCTCACTTCCTGGCTCCATCTAGGTTTCTGCTCAGATGACACCTCCTTCTTGGACAGTGTTATCTAAAACATAGCCTCTTCACCCCTTTACCCCAATCCCAATTCTGGTCACCATTTCTTTAAGGGCTTCATCTGTTTTTTACTGTCACTGCCTGGCATGTTATTGTACTTATTTGTTAATTAGCTTTCTCTCCATAAATTCCATGAGGGAAGCCACTTTGTTCTGTTATATCCCCACTGGCATAAACAGCTCTTAATGCATAGGGAAAAAACCTATCAATATATGTGGAATAGTAAGTTAACATAACCCTTACATCTTCAGTTTCCTCATATATAATAGTTTCCCAGTAGAAGATTACAAATAATTGATAAAATCTGGCCTATAGTAGTAGTAGGTGGCAACCATAACTGTATAGACAGCACTGCTAATAGAAATATAATGCAAGTAACATGTATTTTTAAATTAAAAAGCTAGAAAGCAACAGATTCAATTACTTTTAATAATATAGCTTATTTAATGCAAATATTCAAAATATAGTCATGGGGAATCAGTTCAGGGGAATTGGGGAATCAGTTCAGGGGAATTGGTTCTAGGATCCCTGAGAAACCAAGAAGATGCTCAAG